CTGTCAGTTTGTTTTAAAAATGCCTACTGGGATTTTGACTGGGATCACATTGAAGCAACAACTCAATTTGGGGAGAATAGGCATCTTCACAATTCATAAATATAGGTTTTCTCTTCATGTATTTCAGTTTTCTTTCATTTACCTTGGCAATATTTTAGTTTTCTGTGTAGAGGTCTTATACACCTTTTGTTAAATTTAATCCTAAATATTTTTATGTGTGCCTGGATTTACCTATTTCTCTTTTTATTTCTGTCAGTTTTTGCTTCCTGTATTTCAGAACTCTGTCTGTTACTAGGTTCATATCTATTTATAATTGGTATTTACCTGATGAACTTGTCATTATAAAATATCCTTTCTTAATCTCTGGTCATACTCCTTGTCTTGAAGTCTAATCTGTTTGCTGCTAGTAGAATCATACCAGCTTTCTTGTGCTTATTATTTAAAATTGTAACATATCTCTTTCCCTATTTTTACTTTAATCTGTGTCTTTATAATTAGAATGAGTCTCTTGAAAACAATATATAGTTGGGTCTTGTTTTTTCATTCAGACTGAACTATCTGCCTTTTTATTGCTATATAATTTTTCAGTTAACTTTTCATGTACTTGTAGCTATGCTTGAAATTAGGTCTATCTTTTGATACTAGTTTCTTTTTCCCAATCTATTTTTTGTTCCTCTGACAGCCCACAGCTCTGCCTTTTGATACTCAGGTCAATCAGACTGTGTCTCTAGTTCTGGTCACATACTGACCCCCCTTAACTCCACCCCCACCACTGACATGAGAGCCCTCTAAGGAAAGTAAGAGGAATAACCAATGAAATTTCCTTTTTCAAGGGCTGAATCCATTCCAGTTTCTATCTGCTTTTTTTGGTTACTCTCCAGTACTTTCAAATCGTTCTTAAAAATATTTTCCCCAGAGTTTATAATTTTTAAAGGATTTTATTTATTCATTAAATAAAAAACCATTTATTTTTATTTAAAAATAAAATAAAAGACTTTATTGTTAGAGAGATGGGAAGGGAAGAAGAAAGAGAAAAAGGAAACACTGATGCACAAGAGACACACCGACCAGTTGCCTCTCACGCTCCCAACCAAGGCCCTGGCCCAAAACCCGGACATCCGCCCTGACTGGGAATTGAACCAGCGACCCTCTGGTTCGCAGCCTGGCACCCAATCCACTGGCCCACACTAGCCAGGGCCAGAGTTTGTAACTTTTATGTGTGGAAGACTCAGTCTAGCACATTACTAGATTCTGCCACTAGTAGAACCAGATTCTGAACTGATTTGCTGTTTGTACTGAGCTATTATGCAGGCTCAGAAAAGGTGGCTTGTCGGGACAATCCTCAGTGTTTGCCTACTAGCCTGATTGAGCACATTGATGGAGTTGCACTGTGCTTTCCAAATAAAACGGGTGAGAGGAAAGGATAAAAAGAGAATGAAAATAAACATTCCTGACCAAGGGGAAGAATGTGGACGAATGGGATTTCTTAATTCACTTCTCTGTGCATGTGGTGGGGGGAGGGTCGTGTGTGTGGAGTGTAATAAAAATGACTGGGCAGTACCTATAGAAGCAGGACTTCGCGTTCCTAATAACCAACACTTCTACTCCTAAGTATATACCCAAGAATGTTCAGGGGAACACTGTTTGTAAAGGAAAACAAAGGTGGAAACCACCCAAACGCCCACCACCAGGAGGCAGCTGCACTGTGGCACACTGTCCCAGGGCAGCACTCCCAATGGAACACGAACAGGTCCATGGACAGAAGCTCAACACCATTAGTCATCAGGGAAATGCAAACCAAAATCACAATGAGATACCACCTTCACACCTGTTACAATGGCTGTTATCAAAGGGATAAAAAACAGCAAACGTTGACAAGGATGTGGAAAAAAGGGAACTCTTATACACTGTTGGTGGCAATGTAAACTGTTGCAGCCTCTATGGAAAACAGTATGGAGGTTCCTAACAAATAAAACTACCCTATGACCCAGCAATTCTACTTCAGGGTATGTAGGTGACAAAAATGAAAACTCAAAAAGATATATGACAGGGGGCCCCAGAAAACTGGATTTATCTTCTGGAGGCTTCCCCCACTAGATGAGGGTTCTAGGAACCCATCTGCATTCGTGTACGAGCTGGTATTGTAAGAGGCTGGTTTCACCTCAGTGCATTTTTTTAAGACTCTTTCAAAGTGTTTGCCCATTTCATGATGGGTGATTTATGAGTACACCTGCCTTACACCTGCCTACACTGCAGTGAGTACTCGGCAGTGTTTGACCAAACCCAGCATGACCCCACTCCCTATCCTTCCTATTCACCCAATCTCGCTCCAAGTGACTTTTTTTTTCACCAGATGAAAAAAAGTCTTCAAAGGCAAACATTTTGCCAGTGTGAAAGAGGTGAAACCAAAAACAGCAGAAGCACTAAAACACACCAAAATTAACAAGATCAAAAACTGTTTTGAGCAGAGGAAAAAAGTCTCAATAGGTACATTGCATCAAATGGAAAATACTTTGAAAGTGACTGAAGGTTAAACATGTAAGAAAAAATACATGATTTCTTAATAAATAAATTCCATTTCTTGGGTCTGTCCTAGTATGCATCCCCATGTTCACTGCAGCATTATTTGAAATATCTCCCATCCAAGTACTAACCAGGCCTGACCCTGCTTAGCTTCCGAGATCAGACGAGATTGGGTGCGTTCAGGGTGGTATGGCCGTAGACTATTTGGAATATCTAATACGTGGAAACAACCTAAGTGTCCATCAAATGGATGAGTGGATAAAAGGTGCTGTGTGTATATACAATGGAATATTATTCAGCCATATAAAAATGAAATCTTGACATCTGGGAACAATATGGATGAACCTCAAGGGCATTATGCTAAGTGAAATAAATCAGACAGAGAAAGACAAATACTGTATGATCTCAATTATATACGCAATTTTAGGAAAGAAAGAGAAAAAGGAAGGGAGGGAGGGAGAGAGGGAGGGAGGGAGGAAGGGAGGGAGGGAGGGAGGGAGGAAGGAAGGAAGGAAGGAAGGAAGGAAGGAAGGAAGGAAGGAAGGAAGGAAGGAAGGAAGGAAGTAAGTAAGTGAGTGGGTCCAAACTCAGATACAGAGAACACATTGGTGATTGATAGAGGTGGGTGAAATCAGTAAAGGTAGTCAGTCAAAAGGCACAAACTCCAGCTCTGGCTGGTGTACCTCAGTGGACTGAACGCCAGCCTGAGAACCATAGGGTCACTGGTTCATTTCCCAGTCGGGGCACGTGCCTGGGTTGTGGGCCAAGTCAGGTCCCCAGTAGGGGGCATGTGAGAGGCAACCACACATTGATGTTTCTCTCCCTTTCTTTCTCCCTCCCTTCCCCTCTGTCTAAAATTAATAAATAAAATCTTTTTAAAAAGGCACAAACTTCAGCTATAAAATAAGTAATTCATGGGGATATAATGTATAGACATAAAGTTTCTAATACTGTATTGCATATTTGAAAATTGCTAAGACTGTAGATATTAAAAGTTCTTATCACAGGGAAAGTAATTTGTAACTGGTTGGGGAGAGATGTTAACTAGACTTATTGTGAAGATCATATCAAAATATATAAATATCCAATCATTATGTTGTATACCTGAAACTAATAGAATGTCAGTTATACCTCAATAAAAAATAAAGATAAATAAATTAATTAAAAGCAATAGCAAATCAAGTCCATCTCTGTGGTGTCCAAGGCCACCCTCTGGAGGAGCAAAGCTGCTCCAAGAAAAACAGATCCGAGCTAACACGGAGGAGCAGCACCCTTTCACTAGTGTCCTCCACCCCAACCCACACGTGTGCTGCGGGTCAAGGGAGAGGCTTCTAAAAGGCCAGCTCCTAACTGGGAATATAAAGAATGTATAAAGGAGGATAGAAGATAGTTATAGTTATGCTGCAAAATAAGGATGAGGGCCAGGCAGTCAGTGCCTTTCAGCAGAACACTCCTCCTGAATTCCAGGAAGTTATCATTGATAACGCTGTTTGCTACAGTTTAGCTAACTTCCCCAGGGAAAGAGAAGATGGGGAAAACACATCGTAAGTGTTTATTACTGTCTTAAACAGCAATGATAAAGCCTCAGCAGTCTTTGGGGTAGAGGTGTGTGGGATTTTAGCAGAGCCGAGCATCGCAGCACCGTTCTCCGTAGTCGTGCTGCCGAGAGCGTCATGAGGGACCACGCTGCACCTCCTAGGAAGCGGCAGTGCGCTTGGGCACTTAAACAGGCAAAGCAAGTCACAGACTTTTGGGCTAGTTCAAACGCCCAATGGTGAAAACTCTGTGGTAGGAAAGCTTCTTGTCCCACAGGGTCACTCTAACTGGTCAGTGGTCCTTGCCTGCTGCCACCTGGGCCCGGCCGAGAGAGCCCTACTGTGGTGCATGTCTTCCCACAGGCCCTGAGCCTGGCTTCCTTCTCACTGTGTCCAACAGCACCTCTTGGTCACTGCCATTCCCAGCTCCTCTTCGACAGTTATTCAAATCTTTCCTTATTCTCACTACCTCTCCCCTGGAAGAATTCAATTCACCTTTGAGTTTCTCAGAGGAAAGGAAACTCTAATAATTAAGAATGTCCAGCATTGCTGTGTAATAAGAGGCATTTCCTTCTTAGCATGTGCTGCATGGACTCCAGGATGCCTGCTGCTGGCCTGGGATGGGTGCTCCCACTTGGTAGACAGCATACACACAGGGCCTGGAAAACTCATCTTTCAGGGTTGGCATGACACAGTTCTCTGACACAACAGCAGATAAATACTTCTGGGTACCAGGGCACAGGGCAGACAGAAACTATTTTGAATACTTTCAATAAAAATAGTGTTACCTTTGCTGGAGCATGCATTTGGAAACTTTCTTTGTGAGCAAAATAGTCTGTTAAAATCACTGAAAATTAAGTGCTCCTTTCGATGATTAGCCAAATACTCTGAGCAGTCTTTCTTTCCTTTGGAGAAATGAATAATATATGCAATATAACAAACCTGGTTGTTTTCTTTTTTCAGAGCTTCTATAAAGCACAATGTAAATACTTGAATGGTGGCTACTACTTCTGGGGCTCCGCTGGTTCCCAGGAGTGCATACCTGAACAATGCAAGGCCAGATCACAAGACATTTAATGACTGATTTGGTAAACGCATGAACCTGAATTGTATGAGAGAAGAGTGGAAACACTATTTTTGTGCTGTAGGATTCAGATGTCAGTTCCTGTGCAAAGCAGGAGAACTCTGCCCCTCCTTCCTAATGACTGAAATGGTAACATGCAGTACTCCCTTCCTTGGACTTTAAATTATTAAGCACTGCAGATCCTGTCCGCATAGGCCTGAATGCTCTACAAATACTTATTTGTACACAGTAGTCCCAGACATGCAACAGCAACAAATCTTTTGCTTTTTCAAGTGGAGAGAGAACTGCTCAAGGAGAGGAAGTGGCTCGGTCAAATCTACCCACCGAAGTGGTGGAAGAATCTGTGTGTAGCTGGTTATTTTCCACCCAGTTAAATTTTCTTTAAGTTTAAATAAAAAAGCAGCTCAAACCTTACTAGCTTTAAACCCAAAATGGCATTGATTTCTTATTTCTATGCTTATTTAGCTTAAGGTTGGTATGTTTCAAGACCAACCCAAGCGTTAGGTGATTTACTGTTGTAAAAATTTCTTTCCCTAGTGTCTGCTGCTGCTCTGGAGCCCCTACCACTGAGTGCAAGGTTGAGAGGGCAGACTTCCTGGCCGTGCCAGCAGCCCTGAAGGAGACTGCAAACCCTCTCCTGGTGACAAGCTCCCAGGCAGCGGTCAGGTCTCCCAATAACGGTCGGCCATCATCTACACTAGTGTCCAGTAGTCTCATCTCTCAGCACTCGTGAATCCAATGTGTTTCCCAAGAAGTGCTCAATTTACAAAGTCAAAATCAATGTGTTGTAAGATAACTTGCACAGCTGATTTCACCTTTCAGAAGAGCTCTGTTAGGATGGCATTACTTATTTAGCTTTAAAAGCCCTTTAACGAGACCGGTCGGCCCTCATGTGGTGAAGGGGCTGCACTGCTACACCTTGTTCTGAGCTGAGAAAAATCCTACATAACTACTTAATGATTTAAAATATAATTCAACCTTTTCATACCATTATTATTAGAATTTTAAAAGGTCGAAAATAAAATTATTTTAATTCTTAAGCATTGGCTTTTAAATATACATGAACATTTGGGCTTTACCAAAAAGCTCAGAGGGGTCAGATGGAATCGGAAACTAATTCCCCGCGATGCAGCCAGAGATTACCACAGAATTTATTACTTACATTTGGAAATTGGGCATTTTAAAATCAATTATTAGCAAAACAGCATAAGATTTACCTGAACATTTCATCAACTATTCTGAATATGGCAGGATGGCAGGCTGCTTCAGGCTGTAAAGGAAAAGATGAGAAAATAAAATATCAGAAGTATTTTGTCAGTAAAAACTTGCTATTAACAGGCAAATGAGTTGTCTAGAACTGCTGGTGGCCATAAAATGAACCTAGCCTTCTGACTTGTGTGAAACTGTGAGAACACAGCTGTTTGCAAACCAGGAAGAAGTTTCTTGCTAGATACCAAAACTGCTAATGCCTTGATCTTGTCCATACAGCCTCCCAGCGGACAGAACTTGCCCATGCTCCATGTGAAACCTCCACTTCGGATCATGGACGCTAGTTTCAGCACCCTGCATTCGCTGGGGTAGATGGAAGGGCCATTTCACATTCTACTATTTTATCTGTCATTATCTACGGCAAGCAACTCCCCCCAGGTGTATTAGCCAGTTAATGGACTAAGAAATTGCCATTTCCTTCAGTAAAAAGGGTGAATAAAATTTCCAGTCAAGATGGAGGCATAGGTAAATATGACTTGCCTTCTCACACAACCATATCAAAATTACAACCATAGAAAAACCATCAATCACAATTGTCAGAAATAGTTAGTTGATTGGAAGTCCAACAACTATGGAATTAAAGAAACCACATCCATCCAGACTGGTAGGAGGGGCTCAGACGCAGAAATGTGGACATGCGGAATGGGCTGGTCCCACACCCACATGTAGTAAATAAAAAATGGGTGGGATACCTCAGGAGCAACGGGTGCCAGCCCAAAACCAGGGCCCCCAGCCCAGGGTGCCAGTGCCGAGAGGATAAGTCCCAATAACTTCTGGCTGCAAAAACTAGCAGGGATTGTCTCAGTAGAAGAAACTGCTGATTTCCTGAGCAGTTCCTCTTAAATGACCCCCACACAGACTTACTCAGACTCACTCCCTCTGAACTTCAGCACCAGGGTAGGAGTTTGAAAGGCATATGGCAACTGAAGTGTCTGGCATCAGGGTGAGAGCTGGGGGACAGCTTTCACCCAGACAGAATTGTAGGCAGAGGCCATCATTCCGTTTCTAAGCCCTCCCCACACAGAGCCACAAAGACAGCAGGCCAGTGCCATATCTGAGACTCTATCAACCTGCCTAACACTGTTTGTCCCACAATGGTGATTCTGAGTCTCCACCCCACCCAAATTACGTGCCCACTCAACTTATTAACGGTGGCTTTTCCATATGAATGGCTGGTCTTGGCTCATGCCTCAGACCTTCCTTAATCCTCTCAAACAAGTAGCAGCCAGCCTCAGTGAGCCCCGGACCACATATTCTTGCTGAGTGGCCCCAGGCCTAGAACAAGCAGCAGCCAGCCTAGGTTCACAGCGTGGACTTGCTACGGGCACCTCTAAGCCCAGTACAAGTAGCAGCCAAATGCAAACTGCTTCACAGCTTCCTCCACGTGGCCCCAGACAGAACACAGGTAGGGGCTGACCTTGGTCTGCACCACTTGGGAAACCCCATAGCCTGCACAGCCGGTGGACAGCTAGGGACCACATTGGAGCATAACCACACAATCACCTTGATAAGCAACACACTCAAGGAGCAGACTCAGTGGACTCCAGAGCCCAGAAGTTGGTGGTCAGTAGCCAGACAGTCCTTGCAGCTGACTGGCCTGGGTAAATCACTTCCACTGACCTGCCAACAGCAATCAAAGCTCAACTACAAAAGAAGGATATGCCACTGGACCCTACAGGACACCTACTACATTAGGCCACACTACCAAGACAGGGAGTCAGGGCAGCTCTACCTGACACGTAGAAACAAACACAGGAAAGCTGACAAAAAAAAGAAGACAAAGAAATATGGCCCAGATGAAAGAACAGTAAAATGGATGGTACTGCTGAAAAAATAGAATAAAACTTCAGAGAAAGAGCTAAAGGAAATGGAATTAAGCAATCTATCAGACACAGAGTTCTAAACACTGGTTATAAGGATGCTCAAGGAACCTAGTGAGGATATCAATAGCATGAAAAAGATCAAGTCAGAAATGAAGAATTCACTAATTAAAATAAAGAACTTACAGGGAAATCACAGTAGAGTGGATGAAGCCAATAATCAAATCAATGATTTGGATCATAAGGAAGCAAAAAAAAACAACTACCCAGAACAACAAGAAAAAAGAATTTAAAAAAATGAGGATAGTGTAAGGAGCCTCTGGCACAACTTCATGTGTTCCAAGATTCGCATCATAGGGATGCCAGAAGGAGAAGAGAAAGAGCAAGATATTGGAAATCTATTAGAAAAAATAATGAAAGAAAACTTCCCTGATTTGGTGAAGGAAATAGACATACAAGTTCAGAAAGCACAGAGTCCCAGCCAAGTTGGACCCAAAGAGGCCCTCTTTAAGACACATCACAATTAAAATGCCAGAAGTTAAAGAGAGAATCTTATAGGCAGCAAGAGAAGAGAAGTTAGTTACCTATAGGGGAGCTCCCATAAGACTGTCAGCTGATTTTTCAAAAGAAACTTTGCAGGCAAGAAGGGACTGGCAAGAAATGTATTTTCATGACTTTAAGTCATGAAAAACAGGGACTTACAGCCCAGATTGCTCTGCCCAGCAGGGCTGTATTTAGAATCAAAGGACAGATAAAGAGCTTCCCAAACAAGAAAGAAATAAACAGTTCATCTACACCAAGCCATTATTATATGAAACGTTAATGTTAAAGGGAACTACTTAAGCCCTGGTTGGTATAGCTCAGTGGATTGAGCACAGGCTGCGAACCAAAGGGTTGCAGGTTCAATTTTAGTCAGGGCACATGCCTGGATTGCGGGCCAGGTCCCCAGTCGGGGGAACATGAGAGGCAACCTCACGCTGATGTCTCTCTCCCTCTCTTTCTCTTTCCCTTCCCCTCTCTCTAAGAAATAAGTAAATAAAATCTTTTTTAAAAAAAAGGACTTAAGAAAAAGTAGAAGATCAAAACTATGAACAATAAAATGGCAAAAACCCCTCCCATATCTTTCAACAATTGAATCTAAAAAACTAAGCAATTAAGAAGAAAAGAGACAGAATCATGGATACTGAGAGCATTTTGATGGTTGCCAGATAGGAGGGAAGTGTGGGGAAATGGGTGAAGAAGTGAGGGGATTAAGAAACACAAACAGGTAGTTACAGACTAGCTATAGGAATGTAAAATACAGTATAGAAATAGGGTAGCCAAAGAACCATACACATGACCCATGGACATGAACTCTGATGTGGGGACTGACTGAGGGGGTAGGATGTGCTGGGTGGAGGGGGGCAAAGGGGAAAAAAATCAGGACAAGCACAAATCAATAAACTAGAATAAAAAAACCAAAGAAAATTAACATGATCCTTTGAGTTAGAAAAAATGGAAAAAGCCTTGCATACAAATGCATACAGTGATTCTCCTGGGGCAAGGAGATTATGGGCAAGCTTTATTTCCTCTATATATTTATGTACGTTCCACATTTTCTACAATAAGCCCATATGACTCAGAAAAAAGTTGACAAGTATCATAGAATAATTTAAAATACTTTCTATCAGCATGCAGCCATGAAACACAGAGCCTGCCTGTGTTGCTAGTTTTGTTGCTTTTGACCTCCTCACATGGCCTAGAAGTACCTTAAGGTCAGATGTGGGCCAACTATCTTTTCCTTCCTATTCGGTGATGAGTAAGTACATAATGATTTGATACTTAGGGAAGCAGTGACCATTCCCACGTTATACTAAATAATATCACATCTGAGTGCACCATGAATTTAGCAGTTTCAATTATCTAGTAGGAAAAAAATGGTTAATAAAAAAAATCAAGATACCATCACCTTGAATAATGAAAGTGATCTAATTTAGTCCACAAATATTTTTTGCGACAGGTTTTGATGGTTTAAATATGCAGAAGCTGACCTACTGTGGCCTCAGTGGGGCTTTAGTGGGCCTGTCCCAGGTTCCATATCCTTTTGACCAGAACTCAAAGCATGAGGTTAAGCCAAATGAATATGTCATTTGTGTCCTAAATGAGATGTTTTTTTTTCCTAAATGAGATGTTTTATAGTAACATCCAAGTGTTAGTGGATTAAGCTCTATAGGGAATATCTTTGAGTCATATGACTAGATTGATATGACTAGCTTTGGGAAATACTTTTTCATACCCTCTCTCCCAATAAAAAAAAGAAAAAAGAAAGAAGGGCATGCTTTGTCTCTCACATTTTCTGGATCACGCAGAAGAAAGAATGGTGCCTATCTCCACAGGCTTTCTTTTCCGCTGTTGGCTCTAGGCTGGTGTTTTGAGTTGTAACATTGAATGTGTGCCATCTAGTGTTCACAGTCTGCCACTACAGGCTTTCATAGAGGGCCCGGGGCAAGGGCATCAGCACTTGTTAAAAGGACGGAGTGATCTCCTTCTAATTATTTGAAGAGATTCGTGACTTATGAAAAAATCAAACAAGAAGTGAAAAGCAAAGGGCATGTCTGGAAGAAAAGTGATTCGTCAAATTTGCCAGTTTCATACATAGACAACATGTCTCCTGAGTAATAGTGTTTAAGACCAAGCAACACGACCATGTGCCCACAGGCAGACAGAGCCTGAAAATGCGCTGGTAGAAAACCAAGACTAAATGATGATAGGACTGTGCCTTCTGTTCTAAATGGTCTAACTATTCTAGAACCACTCTATAAATTTGATGCTAGTAGAAATCATTCAATACTAATTACGAAGATTTACAAATGGTAAAGAAAAGGATGATCCCATGTGTAGAATATGGCTACCATGGAATTAAAAGGGAGAAGCAAAAAAAAATTCTGATTCAGTTTGCTAAAAGATGAGAGTTGGACTGCTTTATCCTTTATGCAATGGTTCCTAGCAAAACATCTTAATCCAATGTTTTAAATTTCTCCAGACTGTGTGGAATCTGACTTCTCTCTCCACATCAATGCACTCACTTCTCGATTTCTTTCTGTCCAAATATTTCAAACCCTTGGTTGCTGTCAACCTGCTTCCACAACTTGTTTAGCTTTCAAAACAGATACGATGCCAGGAGGCAGAAAAACCGTGTTGA